CTTTTGTCTTGTGGGGGGGAGGGAGGGTTTAACACCTCTGAAAGACAAAAGTTTTGTCGTTCAATTGCCAGCGTAGACATAGCCTAAATTGTATGACCCCTGAAGTGTTTCAATTATTAAAAAAACTGCTCAGTTACCTGGACACTGGATAAAGGACCAGTTGTATTTGTTCTCTGCTGGACACATGCTGACATTAAGGATGGGTTCCAGGTAGTATTTTCCTGTTGTTGGTGGAGATGGCATCTTTACTGGACCTCTGTAGGAGCCTTCCATGCATTTCCCCTTTCCTGTGTTACTAGGGTCCGTACACCAACCACAGCCAGGCTGTTCCAAACAATGAGCACATGTGCAGTAGCCAGAACAGTTTGCAGCTTTGAAAATAAATGTCAAATGGTAAAATAAACCATTGGATACCTCACAATACAAGACAATATTTGAAATAAGAACCTTCATATGCCTTTTATTGACCTTGAGACTGATCCTTACAAGTTGGAATCAACATTTATTCGAATACATTTATAAACAGATGTATTTTCATGAATTTCTATTAGTGTACTTAATCCGACAATCTCAAAGCTTGCTTTTAAACTTTATTACAGACTAAATAAACAAAAAACAAACAAAAGGCCTGTTATCCAAATTGGTACAGTAAGGCACAGAGTCTAAATCATTTAACCAGTTACAGAGAAAGCCATTAAACAGCAGAAAAACACCCAGTCCTTTTCTAAAAATTAAACAATGCACACTAAAATTTTGCTGAATGTTTTCAATTAACTATTTGAATTATAAACTGTCTTATTTACAATAAAATACTAGAAAGATAAAATACATGATCTCCAAATGAAGGAAAGAAACACATTTAATTTGATTAATCAATGACCTGTTTCAAATCTTTACAGAGATGTACCCCACTTTATTTATACATGAACCATATACAGCTTAATATTACATGCTTCTATATCAAATATAAACCTACATTAGAAAGAAGGGGTTATCAAGGTAATTTGTCCTCAGTCTACTGTCTCCACTGAACCACTTGGTAGAAATTGAGTGCAGCACCATGCAGACGCAAAACATTCTAAAGCAAACTTAACAGTTAGGCGGCATATGAAGATCCCTCAAGCCCAGCGTTCTGCTGAGCTAGGGTGTAAATTCCACACCCCCGTTAGCTATTCCTCAGTTCCTTGTTAATAAGTGTGACTGTTTCGGTGATGACATAGAAATTGTCTTATTTGCAGGATCAACCTCAATGCTGTGCTATTCTACTTCAATACACAGTTTCACTCAATCACAAATTTGAGCTTGAACAAATGAAGAAAGATTTTCTGTACTCAGAGAGGAGTATAATGTCTTTCTATCTTAACTACTGAATTCTTGGCAGCGTTTGCATTTTGACTTTAGAGGTAGAAAATATGCTTCTATTACTTTGCTCCATTCAATCACGTCTCCTATCACTTCCTTCAACTTCAGGCATGTGGAGTAAAATACCAACTATCTGTTTACGAATTAATAATTCAAAATTAATCATTTTACAGTGTTTATAAGTAATTTTCATATTCACTGAAGAGAGAATGAAAAGAAACAACTTATTGCAAATACTGTAGAATGAAAAATAAACCAGCTTCGTCCATGTCAAGGTGTCCCCCCCACTCTGAACTTTAGGGTACAGATGTGGGGACCTGCATGAATAACCCCTAAGCTTATTTTTACCAACTTAGGCAAAACAGTCGCTGCCACCACCAAATGTTTTTAAAAAAAACGTTTGAGGGAGAGCCATTTGGGAACTCTGCCTTCCCCCAAATATTTCCCCAGTCCTTATCCCCCCTTTCCTGGCAGGATTTGACTAATTTCCCTCCCCCACGTCTCTATACCCTTTTTCCTGGGTAGACTCAAGAAAATTCCCCCCACCAATTCCTGGTGAGCCCAGATCCAAAATCCTTGAATCTTAAAACAAGGAAAAATCAATCAGGTTCTTAAAAGAAGACTTTTAATTAAAGAAAAAGGGTGAAAGGAATACCTCTGTGAGATTAGAAAGCAAGATAATATCACAGACAACAGATTCAAAACACAGAGGATTTCCCTCTGGGCAAAACCTTAAAGTTACACAAAAACTCAATTTGATTCTCCCTCTATGTTTGCAAAAGAAATTACAAATAGAAATAAAAGTAATTTAATACATTCCTTCTCTAATTACTCACTACCCTGTTAGGAGTGGGATGGTTCCTTCTCCCTGTCCGGCAAAAGCACACACAGAACAGACAAAGACTCCCTCCTCCCAACTTTGAAAGTATCTTGCTCCATGATTGGTTCTTCTGGTCAAGTGTCAGCTAGGTATTGTGAACTTCTTAACCCTTTACAGGTAAAAGAGGAATTAACACTTAACTGTCTGTTTATGACAGTCCAGAACCATATCTTCAGACTCCCTGACCAGCCTCCAGCAGTTTCTAGATCCTAGCAAACTCAGCCCCCAATTTCCCTCTCAAATATTTGATAATTCATTCCCCCAACTACACCATTCTCTATTACCAATGACTTTGCCCAGACCCCCCTTCCCCGAGGCTCCTACAAAATTCTATAACCTCTTTATGGTTTCAAAATACACAAAACGAGAACCTTGCTGTTCTCCTCATTGCTCTTTAGCTTTTAGAATAGCTCTCATTTCAATACAGAGATCAAATTAGAAATGAATACTTCTAACTTAGCAAAAATATTTTACATATGTTTTGCTAATATAAACATTTCAGAATGACACGTTGAAAAATTGAAAAAATTCGGAAAAAAAATACTGGATGTGTTTTTTTCCTGAAAAAAAATGAGTTTTCATAACCCCATTTGAGAGCTTACATTATTTGCTGTTTAGGTTAGAGCCATACTTTAGTGTACAATCCTGCTCAACACCTTCCATGAAACATAACATGTTCAAGGATTGGTCCTTACATTTGCAGAGCTCATCCAATCAGGGAATCTGTGATTTTTCTAACACTATGTAACTGCGTATGATCTTGTCACATTAAATTTGTTTGCAATTTATGCAAAGCCAAGCTTTCTTAGACCATCTTTCCAGGTACAGAGGAAATTACTTACGTGGACAGCTGCTCATGGTGTACCACTCCATACACTGGCCATAGGGGAAAGAGGCCACATAAGCATTTGAGTCCACGCACTGTTTCATGTTACTGCACCACATGCACTCAGAGCTGCCACTCGTGCACTCTCCACACGCCGCCCTCAAGGCACAGGGTGTGCGACATTGCTTGGCACTGTGGTTAGCTGGGTATTAAGAAACAACACTTAATGACATGGGAAAACAGATTACACAATATTCTATTTTATGGTAGTAAATTACAGGCCCTTGTTCATTTGCACAATAAAAAATATAGAGGTGAATCACTCTTTGTCCACTAGTCAAACTGGGAAGTTCAGTGTGACTAATATACTAGAGCTGGGTGAACACTGGTTGCTGTTTTTTTGGTTTGCTGGCACTTCTGAAAAATTGAAAACAGCTTAGTTTCAGGTTGAACCAAAAATAAAATATTTTCAAAATTTCTGATGAATCAAGAAGTCAAAAAAAATTGAGTTAGGTTGAAACAAAACATTTAGTTTTAACCTAACTTGAAATTTTTTTGTTCCATTTTCAGAATGAACTCCTTTGCTTTTGTCAAAATGCCCAAATTTGAAACAAACAAATCTGGTCGAAACAAAATGGCATTGCCAAAAATGTTTGATATTTTTGGTTTGGTCAAAAAACTATGCGATTAACTTGTGCCCAGTTGGTGAATAATTTCGGGTTGGCCGAAACTGCATTTTTCAGTGATTCGTTTATTTGCCAAAAAATAAAAAAAAAATAAAAAAATTATCCTAACTCTACTACTAATTGAAAAATCTCTCAAAATTTAGTTTGAGTATTTAATCAGTTAACTGAACTGAATCATTTCATCTGTAACATGGTCATGATGAGAAACTTTACCATATGAGATCTACGCAGTAGGAAATATATCAGTTACAGCAATTCATTTTTCAGTAATTATGAATTCTCTTCAGTGCAAATGCAGAGTAAAACTGAAAGGAAACAACTTGAATGTTATTGCTATTTACATCTTTATAGTGCTGCATATACGTTATCCATACTGTCCTCTTCACGCTTCTGTGAAGTTAATAGTGTCAGCATTTTACATGTGGAAGAGTGGGATAAAGGTTAAGTAACTTGACCAATGTTACAGATCAAATCAGTATTAGAACCAGAATTCTAACTCAAGAATTTTTGGCTCCTAGTCCAGTGCTTAATCCACTAGACGACAATTTAAACTAACCATTCTCAGACCAAAAAAGACAGACCAAGTTAAGTTTTAAACTAGTTATAGACTAG